TCTCCTGTCGCCTGATCGAGAGTCGTGTTGGTTTTGCCGGGCTGCGGGTTTTACACTCGATAGAAGGTGGCGGACCACTGTCTAGGCCGGCTGCCGAGATGGTCTGGCGGGGTGCCGCCGAGGTGCGGCCCAGGTGCAGCCCAAGTGCCGCCGAATAACTGCCGAAGCATTACCTACTATACAATCCAGGCGCTGCCCACCTGTATCCACCCAAGCCTGCCGTGGCCCGTTCCGCTTCGCGCAGAAGCAACGATTGCAGCTGCCCTTCAGCCGATGACGTCTGGCCGCCGCTGCCGCCTGGCCGCACGAGCACGTTCCAGCACACCTTCCTCACCTCGAGCGCGCGATGGATGACAGAAGCTCTTCGCAGTCTTGCGTTTGGCATCTTCACGGGTGCGCCATTGAAGTTCATCGTGGTTGGCGCGCACTTTTGCCACGGATGCCACACGGACATTGTGTGCTACACGATGTATGCACTGAAAGAACGGCTCGATCGCATCTTGGAGGAGTGGCTCCAAGAGTTCTCGGCGGCGATTTGGGACCGTGCGGCACTGGAACGGCCGGCGACAACGTGGGGGGACGCCATCGCGCTCCGCGATATAGACAACAGTGCTCGGTCGAGCCTTGTGTCGAGAGTGAAGAGCGAGGCGCTGCACTGCTCCGCGTTCCCAGCCGCCGACGTGGCCCTGTTTGGAATCGTTGTCCTGAGCGGACCAGTTGCCCTGCTCAGTGTGTGCGACTGGAAGCGGAGAAGGAGGAAGCGTGTCGAGGAGCGGGGCTGCATCGACTAGCAGGCCCTCAAAATACTGAGAGTGGCTGATCGTGTGGTTCTTTGAATATCAAAGCTGCGGCTCGGGGTCGCCCCGTGTTTTTTTTCTATATTCTAAAGAGAGTTTTAAACGTATGCTCAGCATCGCGTTCAGTAAATCGTCAATAAACAGTATAATCCGGATGATACGGACATAATAGCCGCCACTAGTCCACGCGTTCCGCACTCGAGAGTCGTGCAGTCGTGTCGCACGCTCCCTCTTGGTAGGTAATATGGAGTATGGAGACTGCCGTCCTAGCTGCCGTACGAGCTCGCGGTCTCCGGTCTCACGCGATGGCGCACGACGAGATCCACGAGTCGTCGTCCTCCTCCGCCGCGGCGGCGGCGGGCGGTGCGTGCGACCAGTTCGACCCCTCCTGCCGGGGCGGGAACGCGACGACGAGACCCGCGCCAGACGCCGCCGCCAGCTTGGCCCTCGCCTCTTTTGCCGCCGCCTCGAGCGTCGCCTTCTCCTCGGCCGCCTTGCGCGTCGCCGTCGCCACTGACACCTACTCCCCGACTCGCGCCAGCTGCAGTCTCTCCTCCTCTCAGTGGCCACGCATCCTCGTTTGAAGTCGTACCTCCCTCGCCAACGTCTCGGCCGCCTGAGCCGCGTCTTTCGCCTCACGCGCAGCCGCCTCGGCCGTTTCGGCCGCAGCCGCCCGCTCCGCCGCCCGCTCCGCTGCCGCAGCGGCAGCAGCGGCAGCTTGCGCGCGCTTCTCCTCCGCCTGGGACTCGGCAGCGGTCGCAACCGCTGCGCTTCTCCGCGCCGACGCCTCCTCGAGCTTCGCTGCCGCCGCCTCCTCCGCCGCCCTTACGGCCAAGCGGGCCGTCGCCTCTCGCGCTAACGCCGCCTCCTCGGCGGGATCGAGGCCGTCTGACACGGCCTTTGCACGCGCCGTCTTTACCGCCTCGAGCGCCTCCACCGCCCAGGCCGTGGCAGCGTCTTGGTTCTGCATGCTCCTTTTGATAAAGAGTGCCAACAAACACGCCGTCGCAAAGCTGAAAGAATTTTACAGCTAGAGAAAGCGGAACCGAAACAACGCAATCTCTCACATGTCCCACGTCAGCGATTGTGGGGACTACATGATTACACGAAGGGTGGGGGGGGCCGTCCGCAGAGCTAGGCGGCGCGGGCACCCCCCGCTGGGGCCGAGCGTAAGAAGCCGTTTGCCACTTGCTTGTTCTTGACCCAATTGGCGCGCGCTGGGGAGTTGAGCCAGTCTTTACGCTCATTGCGCGCCTGCTTGTTGATGTTGTCGGCGTCGCCCGCCACCGCCGCCATGGAGATCTGCTGCGTGTGGTGGACGACGAAGGAGGAGGTTGTTGCGTCTCCGCTTTCTCTTCCGCGCTTTGCCTGTTGTGTGAATAATGCGTGTGCCGAGAGAGTTCCGTTGTAAAATTCTCTTTCGCGGTGTACCTGTGTTAGTGCCAGTGCGCGCCAGTCCCGTGCCCAGTGTAAAGAAAGAAAGAAAGAAAACACACACGCCAAACGAGGGATGGGACGAGGACAGGGTCCCCACCTGCACGAGCATAAATAAATAAATAAATAAATACAACGGACATCCCAAGCTAGGGCTGGGTCGAGGACAGACACGTCCCCACCTTACCAGGATTTTGCAAAAGCGAGGGGGGAGGGCGCATCGCCGCGCGGAGAGGGCTGGGCACAGGGCACAGGGGATCTCTCTCGCATAGGATATGCACTCGGCGGCACGAGGGCAGGGCTGGGCGTCCTATTTGTGCTCCCCCCCGGACCCCTCGCTCTCGGGCACTAACCATCTGACCACTCATCGACGGGGCTTGGCGAGCGGCCGCGCTGCACGAGCAGTGTTGTCGACGGAGTTTTTGTAAATTTCTCTTTCGCTGGCCTCGCCCGGCTCACCACTCAGCCTCGAGCCCTCCCTCCCTCGCAAGCAACAGCCAGAAATGATCCAGGAGATGGACCCCCCGTCGCCGTTTCGGCTGGAGTCCTTCGGAAACATGAGCCGCCAAGTCGAGCATGCGATCCAAGAGCAGCAGCAGCGCATGCAGCACGCCCACCGCCGCGTCGACGACGCAGGCGGGCG